ACCGCTTCCTGCACCGCACAGTTTAGGTGTTAGGTTTTGTTGCGTTGATTAAATTATAGGATTATAGGATGATTAAGGAATCTTTCGTTGGTGGACATGTTTCTGTTGGGAGGAGTTTATGAGGATCCAAGCAGTAACTGACATCCATCTAGGCAGTGCTCTCTAACCCCCGAAATCACACATTCTTTATCATCAGCGTTCCTTAGTGTTATTTTTATGATTTGGGGGAAAAAATGGAAGAAATTTCACATATATGCATCAGAGCGCTACCTGTTGGTTCTCTGGATGGTTTTCTATGCTTGCAAAAAAAACTAGCAGCAGAAGTGGAGTTTGGAGATGCAATCCACATCTTAAATCTCTCTTTGCTCTCCTCTAATTTATCCAGAAGTTCTACAATCACACTTTTTCCTCTCACTCCCAACTTGGTGATCGGCTGCTTATTTAGCATGTCTGCACTGAAAATGCCTTTCCAAATTACTCTTTTTATTTTTTGACAAACTCTCGTTACAAAGCAAAAATGCAGGCAATCTTTCTGCATTGATAATGAAACCAAATAATTCAGTCAATTCTTCTTTGAATCCTCTTTTCTTATCAGCTATCTGCCTTTTTTTCCGTTTGGGATCCATGGCCTGAGAAACACCTGCTGCTTTGTTTGCCAGGCACCGCACCACGCTGAAACATGCGTTGCAGGCTATGACCAATGATCTCTATGGCCATGGTCCAAATTTTCCTTGAAAGAAATGTTTACATTTATTTATTATACTAAAGTTTACAGCATTGGAGCATAATGAATGTTTGTTTGACCTCCTGCCCACCATATTAAAATAAACGGAAAAAAAAAATTGTTTTCATAAATTTTTGAAAAAGCTCCAGGGAGCCACAAGTGGGGGCGCTAAAGAGATGCGGCTCCGAAGCCACGGGCTGCCGACTCCTGGCCTAGAGGGGTAACATGACCCTGTCTTTAAGCTCTACTAACATTCTCCACACTAAAAGAAGGAAATCTATCCTCTATATTTACAAAGAAAGGTATAAAATCAGATCTAAGCCTGTTTTTTTCTCTATCCTTTCTTTTAAAAACCCGTTCCTCACCTTAAACAGACAATATTTCAACCAATATTTAAACATTTTGTCACTCAATTTTTAAGCAAATGATCTTAAATGTCCTTTTTTCAACCACCTTTTCTGTTCT